CTTGGGGATTTATAGTGATTTTTAAAGTTTGAGGGCACATGCAGTATAGGTGGAGGTCGTTTAGCCACACAGTGTGAGTTCCACTCCCAAAAAACCAGGTAACTGACGTGCACATTAGCAAAGGAAGGAAGGACTTCAGACTTTCAGATTTTTATTTTTTTTTTTAATTCTTGGGTAAATGAAAACAATTACATTGTCAGTATAAGTATAAAGTAAACTTGATATGGGGAGGTGAGAAGGTGGAATCTGGAATGACTCCTGAGAAATCTGCTGTGGGAACCAGGAGGATAGGAAACCAAGCAGGTTGGTGGTGAGTCAGAGGATAAATTCCGTTCTGGACATGTAGTGCCAACACCTGAAGACCATCCATGCGGGTGGTTTTGTAGATCCAGAGATTAGGATCTGGGGCAAAGATCTGAACCAGAGATTAAGGTTTACCAAACTACTCCAAATAAGGAAGAAACACATGATCCAGAGATTGACAGTCTGGGGGAGATAAACACCAGAGGAATTTCACGAGTGGTCAGCACTTTTTGCCAAGTGGAGGGGTGGGTTGGGGGGGAAATGTCACTTTTTTTTGTTCCAACCTGGTCCAGCTAAAACCAAGACATGCCTTGGATTTAAAAGTTACGGCTCCAGTGAGTTCCTCTGCTTACACTCCAAATTTGAGAATCAGTGTATCTTCACATTGGTTCATTTTTGCCTTTCTTATTTCTTACTCTTTATTTTCACACCTTTCTTCAACAATCAAAAAAGCATTCAAGTATTTGCCTAGAACAGTGGTCGGCAAACTCAGTCAACATGTGGCTTGCGAGCCACAGTTTGCCGACCACTGGCCTAGAAGGATAAGAAGACATTACAAGACAAGCATATTAACACCATGGAGCCTGACTCTTATTGAGTTTGGAAGGATAGGAAGAAATAAAGCTAACAAAATGTCTTAGTCACTCAACACAGTTCAGTATAACCTATCCACATTGCAACTTTTCTCCTAAAATCAACCTTAAGCTCTGGATGCATAGCAAATACATTTAAATGTTTTAAAGGCGCTTTAAACATCTCAATACTATATTTTTCTATTAAGACAACCAAGGAGTACCCTTGAGAAATGGCATTGCTTTGGAGAGAGATGATGACCTCAGTGTCAAATGTTGGAAGGGTAATTGGAGGTGACCTGTCAGACAGCTGAAGTATGGAAGTAGATCAAAACTAGGTAGATTAAGAAGTCACATGACCTTGATTATTTAACCACAAATACAGGTAGGATGCAAAGGGTGAAAGTTGAGAAATGTAAGGAGTGACCCACTGTTAGATAAGCCACAGTGAAAAATCAGGCAGAAGCTGAGAGCTAATGAAAGTGGGTCTTCTAGAAAAGGAAGAGGGCAAAGAACACACTAAGTAAGCACCAACAAGCTAAAAGTAGCCATAAAAGCAATTTGTAATTTTTAAACATCACCCCACTCACACATCCGCCATCTATGGCATTCAAGTCAATGTAAGATCTCAAGCAACTGAGGAGTTCAAAATGGAACTCTAAACACTGATTTTCTAAGATTGTCTGTTTCCCAGAAGGATAGACAGGTACGGCAAATTGGGTCCGAACAGGAGCATGACTCCAGCAGGTAGGAGGCTAGCGGAAGCCTTATTTAGTCTGAATAGTGTGACCTGAGCAAGTCACTTAACATCCTCTCGTTCTTCAAGGATATCTCTTCACTAAAATGAAGAAGCTGGGTTTGGGCTGTAAAGGCTTTTCAGCTTTAAGATAAATGTATTTTCTTATGGAAAAGCTTACCCTCTGCCTTTTTTTTGTTTGTTTGTTTGTTTGTTTTTTTAAGGGAAACACACCATTTTGAAGAAGTATAAAAAACTGACAAGCCCCTTTGTTTTAGAAAAGTGCCCAACGAGCATGGGCCCTGGATAGGTCAGTATTAGGGGTAAGATCATGGCCCAAAATGTTAGCACTCACATCTTAAAGTAGGCCTGTATCATTTCTGAGTTAGCTCAGTGTATTAATTGCATAACTTAGAAAATTGGTTGGTTAGAGAATGTTCATGTTTTATAATCTAGATAATCACATTTTAAAAAATATGTTTTTATTCATTTCAGAGAGGAAGGGAAAGGGAGAGAGAAATAGAAACATCAATGATGAGAGAGAATCATTGATTGGCTGCCTCCTGCACTTCCCTTACCCTGGGGATCAAGCCCGCAACCCAGGCACGTGCCCTGTTTCATAGGTTGACAACCACTGAGCCACACCAGCTGGACTCTAGATAATCACATTTTAAGAAACTTTTAGATTTGGGTAGATAAGGTACTAGGTATCATCCAGTTCTTATTTTGCCCTCTAATAGATGTCGACTCAGCTTTGCAAATGCCACGAAAAAAGATAATTTGGTACCATGGAGAATAGAGTACTTTAAATAACTTATTCAAATGATACCGCTACTCTGACATCCAGGCTTCGGGAAAGAGGATGGAACCAACTGCTGGGTATTAACCTTGCCTTTTCTAGATTTTTCATCATTACTTGTATGTGCCAGAGATCACATGAAAAGAACATAATGGCAGAGGAATTTGTGTTTATAAATCCTTACATTGAAGCTTAGACCCTCAGCAGTTCCAGAATGTAGACATCTGATCCGTGCAAAATGATGTCACCAGACAGCCACTGAGTATCCAGGGGAAACAAATGTTGGTCTTGGATTAGCAAGCATTGCAGCATCCACCTGCTTCTCTAGAAGGGGTTTGGTCAGGAGGTGAAGGGATGGTCCGATTAGACTTCTGAAAATACCTTCACCAAATTAATATTGAGAAAGGAGGTAGGCCTCAGTACTTTATTAGGACACCAAACATTAAAGAAAAGACATATGTGAGATCTGACTGAGGGATTGAAAATGTTCTTTATTTGACCCAGTTTTCTAAGGCATGTTAGAAGAGCTAACATGGAACGTGTTGTTTTTTTTTTCCTCCTTCCCACAAATAAAGATAACTAACTGGGCCACTTATCCCACTAAACCCTGCCACCTGTTGGAACACTTTGCATATTATATTGTTGCATGCAGCTTCCTCTTTTCCAGTGGACTGAGCATGAGCGATACCATAGCAAGATTGCAATAGTCTCCACCGAGGAACTTTCGTTTATGCTTTAGAGACGTTAACATTTCCGCTCAGGGCTCTGTTGCTTTTTTACAGAATCCATTTTTCCCCATTAAAAAAATAACATTAATTAAGAGAGTCTTCTTTTTACCAATTAGGTCAAAGTCCTAAAATTTTAAGACCCAAACCCCATGGTTTAGAGCGAACTGATTCACAAACCATACGTGACTTTGCTACGAGAAGAAAGGGTATGTACTTTAGCACCGCATGCTGGATGGGGCCTTGGGAATTCAATTATTCTATGAAAAGTAAAGATAGAGCCTTAAGTCCAACTGCTTTTGTAAATGAAGCTTCCCAGCATGCTATTTCTAACGAATGCTTCCAGTAATAGAAAGTGAGTCTCCTTGTTATGCCATTAACAGCAGCATGTTCAACATTTGATAATATGTGATAATCAGTCTTGTCCTTTTGCATTCTTTTAACCCTTTCGGCTTCGATACATTGTTTTCTGTAAGCTTGTGAGCTGCTTGTGAATTCCAGTCTTCGCCTATATTTATATATAATATATGATTTCTGTTCTGAGATAGGATGCAAATGCACTCCCATGGATTAAGTGTTTTATGCCCTGGCTTAGAATTTGTCAGCTACACTGCCATTAACCTTTGGGTTTCAAAAAAAGGGAAATGTAAGAGTTAAAGAAATACTTTCAGTCAGCACAGTATTCTGTACATGTCCATTGTAAGTGTCTAGATGAGCAAAATTATTTTAACTTGAACTTAAATCAGTCTAGTCTTTAGAAAATCTCATTGAGTTTTTTTGTATTTGAGTTAAAATACCTTGTTACGAGCACCAGTGAATCTACCTAGCCCTTTACAATGACCACTTATTTTATTGTTTGATGGTCATTATAACATAGTTGATTAAAAGTACACATAAATGGTCAAAGACTAGAAGGAAACTTGGAAAAATGGGAAATTTTTAATTTAGAATAGTAGGATGAAAGGTGACTAAAATACTTAGCCAGTATGTTTAAATAGTTTCCTAAAATATAATTAACATTAACAAGTAACATTATTTTAGTTCTTCTCATTTAATTAATATCTGAAAAATGTTTTGGTCTTGATGAGAAGGCCCGAGAGCTCTGTGGTTTGTACTAGCAATAGCGATTGTCACTGCAATAATGAAGTAAATAAGCGAATACCATTTATAAATTTAAAAAGTAAGAATCTTAGTGTTTATTTATTTTTACTTAATTTGGTAGAGGTAATTGCTTGATTATGGTCTTTTCTCAGAGCTGAATTTGAGTCTAAAGATATAATTATTGCTTTGTTTTCTTTGTTTCCAGACTGAGCATGAACTAATTTAGATTTGGTCATTCATTTTTTTTGTTTGTTTTTTATTTTAACAAAATTTTGTATTTAATGCTTTTCATACATTATTTTATTGTATAGTTATATAACTGAGACTTATTGAAGGATCTGAACATTTTTAGGTAGATGATTAAATTTCCATGTTTAAGGATAAAATTAGGTAAAAATAAAATAAGAAAATCATGAAAAGTATAAATCAACTAAGTGTAAAGAAATTGTATCACATTACTCTCTTTTGTTATCAGTTAGTTTATCTTCATAAAATATTTACTTAAATTAAGAAGCAACGTGTTTGTAATAGAGCTTGAGGCTTTCAGTCAACAATCATGAAACATTATCTGATTAACTTTGTCATTAATTGTTTAGCTGTATAATCTTGGGCAAATCATATAAACATCCACGAACATTGTTTCATCTGTAAAACTAGTTGGTCGTAGATGTACTCTTCTATTACATATAAATATATAGGGAGAGGATCTGGTTTTGTTTTCCAAATTTCTATATACTAAAATTTCTTTTTCTCTCTTATTTCAGCCAAGCCAGCACCTTTAGAAATAAAACCTTTGCCAGAATGGGAAGAATTACAAGCCCCAGTTCGGTCTCCCATCACCAGAAGTTTTGCTCGAGAGTAAGTATTATTTAAATATATAACTTGATTGTTCCTTATAACAGAAAATACAGTACCGGGAACAGTGGTTTTCAAAGGATGGTCTGGGCAGCCTCCTGTTGGGGGTTCTGTGAAATCAATGTTTTCATTACGATACTGAGCTGTCAATTGCTTTTTCCGCTCTTCTTCTCTCATGAGTGTACACTAGAGTTTTCCAAAGGCTGCATAACATTAAAGGATACTGAGTGACAGCAAATAGAATGTGTATTTGTGTACTCTTATGTTTACATTTTTTCTATTTCTTGTGATGTGGTAAATATCAATAGATAGAACCCATATAAACAAAAGTTCCTTGGAATTCTCAATAGTTTTTAAGAGTGTAAAGAGTTCATGAGGCTAGAAATTTCTAAGAACTAACTGATCTGGAAAATATGGTAGTTTCTTGCAGAACTTATTTAATTAAGATTTATTTAAATGTATATAAAGAAAGGAATATATGAAGTTACCAACCTGTGTTGAATATGTGTACGTGTTTCTTGTGTACATAGTTATTTTCAATGGGAATTCATAAGTCTTTTCTTTTTATATCTTTTGACTTTCTACTTATCCTCTAAATCCCTAACAATACTTTTTCTTTGTTCTACACAGATCATTTGGTGCCCAAAATATACATTTGCAATGTAGCTATAAATATTGGTTGTGATTTGAATGTGTGCTAAAATTGGATTATAATTAACCAGAGGCCTGGTACACGAAATGTGTGCACTTAGGGGTCCCTCAGCCCAGCCTGTGCCCTCTCTTAGTCCGGGAGCCCTTGGGGAATATCCGACAGATGCAGACCACTGTGTTCTCCAGCTGAAGTCTGGTTCAGGGCTTCTGGCTGAGCAGCACTCTCTCTGTGAGAGCGCACTGACCACCAAGGGGCAGCTCCTGCATTGAGCATCTGCCCTCTGGTGATCAGTGAGCATCATAGCAACTGGTCGTTCCCTTGTTTGGTCAATTGCATATTAGCCTTTTATTATAACAAACTAGAGGCCTGGTGCACAAAGTTTGAGGGAGAATCCTCAACCCAGTCTGGACCCTCTCCAATCTGGGACCCCTCAGGGGATGACTGGGCGCCATCATCTTTATGAGGGCATGATGGCCAATTAGCATATTCCCTCTTCATTAGATAGAATGTGCAAATAGATTATTATAAACTTAAATGGGAATTTCTGAAAGGATGAAAACTCACTCGTCTTTATTTTGGAAGTGATTTTAGAAACTCTGTCAGGGTGTGTTTGTAATGATAATTTTTGTAATTAGTTCTTCTAGGTTTCCCATGTCTCCCCGACCGGATTCAGTGCATAGCACAACTTCAAGCAGTGACTCGCATGACAGTGAAGAGAATTATGTGCCCATGAACCCAAACCTATCTGGTGAAGACTCGGTATGTAAAGTCTTCATCTTCACTTCTCTCTTCTTTCTTCCAGTCTATCAGTCTTATCCTTACTTATTTTCTTTATACCTAAAGAAAAAGGATAAAAGACAATTTTTTAATTGTCTTTTTAAAAATAGTATGCTAATGTCTAAAACCAGTAGAGGGTCGAAGTGTAATATCAATATCTAAAAAGTAGAAATAAAATTAGTTAATTTTAAAAAGCTTCCAGTTGTAATTTTTATAGCTGTACTTGATTTTTGAAACTATGCAAGGAAATATTTTTTACTGGATGCTGCCTATTCATTTATACACAGGTCCAAAGTCAAACATTCTTGATTGGGCCCTTCATGTGACTCCTGACATTTGAATGACAAATACATCATTACCAAAGACAAATCTCATTATGTAACAATAACAACAAAAATATGTTCAATAATTTTGCACATTTTAAAAATAATTTTAGGAAAACAAACTTGTTTTTATTTTATTCTTCTAATTCACAGAACACTCATAATAACTCCTAGAATCTTGGGGTTTTTCTAAACTGTTTTGAGAAAACACTGGGTTAAAGGCTAGAATGCAGTGACGAGCTGTTCCCAATTGAAATTAGATCAGGAGCAAATGGGGCATAAATTTTAACAATACTTCAAGATGAAAAAATTTTCAGTTCCAGTAACAATTAGAAAACAGCTTACCTAGCAATTCTGAGAAATACTTTTTGGGAACAACTTACTGAGATTAAACGTGTACATCAGCCGAAACTGGTTTGGCTCAATGGATAGAGCGTCGGCTTGGGGACTGAAGGGTCCCAGGTTCGATTCCGGTCAAGGGCATGTACCTTGGTTCCGGGCATATCCCCAGTAGGGGGTGTGCAAGAGGCAGCTGATCGATGACTCTCTCTCATCGATGTTTCTAACTCTCTCTCTCTCTCCTCTCCTCTCTGTACAAAATCAATAAAATATATTAAACTGTACATCAGATGAACTCATGGGTTCCTTTCATAGCCTTGTGCTACTGTGAATTCTAGGTGTTTCCAATTAGGGAAATTTCAGATACAGGTTCTTCCACTGGACACATTTGAATACAAACATATTTTCACACATACACACTCCTGTTTGATTTTTTTATGTTAGAATGAAATATCACCTCATTTAGAGGGGAAAAAAAAAAAAGTTTCTTTATGAGCAGGAGGAAAATGGCTGTTTGTACTGAGTACCAAAACTTATTTTTTTGTCCGCTGCATGTTGCTGTCAATATTGTATTAGGAATAGTTGATAAATTTGGTTTAAAAATCTGTTCCTACTAATAGAGCCATCACATTTTGTGGTGCAGATTGATTACTGCATAATCACCATGCCTAGCGTGTGTAGAATGTACAACAGGCCGCACTCACGAGCTATCGAGCAACCCAGACCATGTCCCCGTTGACCTGCGGCAGGGCCTGGCACAGAGCCAGGACCCGGCACAGCGCTGTGACACCCCAGAGGAAGAAGAGCATCTTTTTCTAATTCACAAAAACATGGCACATGGCCTGTCAGCAGCCCTGCTTGCAAATGAGGGGTAAACTGTTTTCCTAACAGTTGTCTTTGCTCTAAATCACAGCCTACTCTGTTTAATCTGAGCAAAAATTGCTGTCCACTATCTCCCTTCTTTATCTTTTCTTTTTTTGAGACTACACCTACTATTGTACAAATCATATTAGGATGGAAGGGATAAGACCAAGAGAACACAGGAAATTAAGTGGTAAAAATTCCAGATGGTTGGAATAAAATACAGTTTGCCAACAGGGTCATTATTCTAGAAACTTTAATTAGTTGTTCTAAAACTTCAGTGTGAAAGCCTTTAAATAAAATACAGAACTTTAAAAAAAATTTAATTTGAAGGCAAGGTGCATAAGGATCTTGTAGTTTAAAAATATAATTTGCTTGCTCTGACTGGTTTGGCTCAGTGGATAGAGCATCAGCTTGTGGACTGAAGGGTCCAGGGTTCGATTCTGGTTGGGGGCACATGCTCGGGTTGTGGGCTCAATCCCCAGTAAGGGGTATGCAGGAGGCAGCCAAATCAATGATTCCCTCTCATCATTGATGTTTCTATCTCTCTCTCCCTCTTCCTCCCAGCCTGAAATCAATAAAAATATATTTAAAAATAAGTAACTATGTAATTGAATACATATATCATTTTAATATATTCAGGGTGAGCTATCAAAACTTTAGTAGCTTGACATCCCATTCTTGGTTTGAACCAAGTTTGACATTTGATACTACTTTCAGCTTATTCTAAAGTAAGTTTTGATCAGTTTTTTTTTTTTTAGACATTACTTATTTTCCCCCAGTCCTAAAAAGTTATTTAATTTTATAAGCAGACACTTTTCAAGCTATGTCCTCTTGAAATAGACATTTAGGTTTTGGTAGATGGCAAGTGAGAAAAGCAATATGTCTCATGAATGTTTGGCAGTTGATTTTGTTGTGTTGTCCTTTCAGAATCATTTTGGCAATCTTGATGGAGGAAGTAGCCCTATGATCAAGCCCAAAGGAGACAAACAAGTGGAATACCTCGATCTAGATTTAGATTCTGGAAAATCCACACCACCACGTAAAGTAAGTGAAAGCTCATTCTGTAAATACAGGGTTGGGGGAAATCGGTTTACAGTTGTGAATATATGAAACATAGAGTTTACTCTTGTATAATCATTTATTAGTTACTGTATTATTTTCCGTATGAAAAACTATACCAATTCTCTTCTTTGAGGTTTCTGATTAGACATTAGTTAGAACTTCTCATTCTATCTTTTGTATTTCTTATGAATCTTTCATATTTTCTCTTTTATTTTTAAAATTTTTTTGAGCATTTTACATATGTATGTTTTATAATGTTTATGCAATAATTTCAGTATCTGAAGTTCTGGAGGTCTGAATCTGTGCTTATTGTTTTTGCTGACTTGCACTTCTGATAGCTTGTTCCCTTGTGTGTTTTATTTTTACTTATTTATTTTTTTAATCCTCACGAGAGGATGTTTTTTCATTGCTTTTTAGAGAGTGGAAGAGAGAGAAAGACTGAGAGAAACATTGATGTGAGAGAAACACATTGATTGGTTACCTCCTGCAAGAGCCCTGACCAGGGCCCAGGCCTGGGAGGAGTCTACAACTGGATAGGTGCCCTTGACCGCAATCGAACCTGGGACCTTCGGTCCTCAAGCCAATGCTCTATCCACTGAGCCAGGGCCCCTTGTGTGTTTTATACATTGTTATTGTGAATTTATTTTGCCGAGGCTATCTGAGGGAATCTTGCATTGGTCTCTGCTAGGAAGCAGTGGAGCTCCCATGCTAGGATCAAGTCACTTTCCTTCAAGGCTCCTGAGCTTAACAGAATAGACCTGGTTCAGCATGCCTCCCACCTAGCGCCTCCTAATCTTGCTGAGATTGACATTCATTCTAAAGCACTGCCTTTACCATTTAGCAGGCCACTGCTGCCTCTGCTTCCCTCACACCTTGGGAGTTTTCCTTATTGTCTAGCAAGCCCAATAATGCATTCATAATTATTTTTGGCCCTAACTGGTTTGGCTCAGTGGATAGAGCATCAGCCTACGGACTGAAGGGTCCCAGGTTCAATTCCAGTCAATGGCACATGCCTATGTTGCAGGCTCGGTCCCCAGTGGGGGGCATGTATGACGCAGCCCATCAATGATTTCTCTCATCATTGATGTTTCTCTCTCTTTCTGTCACTCTCCCTTCCTCTCTAAAATCAATATATATATATATATATATATATATATTTTTTTTTTAAATAATATTATTTTTGTTTTAAGTTAACTAATATTTAGTTGTATTTTAGGAGTAAGAGGGCCAGCCCATCTGCCTATGTAATTTGTCATTCTTGAAAGTACTGCTTTTGAAAAAAACTATTCTTCAACTCTGAAAGTAAGCACTGATACATGTTCTCAGGGCTTGAAAAAGTAAAGCTTAAGGTAAAGGCTAACGGTTCTAGAAGCAAGTTGTGTGTCTTAAGATGAACTAGGTGTCTGCTGTCCCTACTTTATAAGAATTTCATCTGTGATGGGAAGCATTAGTTTGAATGCTTATTATATACTAGAGGTCCGATTCATGAAATTCGTGCAAGAGTAGGCCTTCCTTCCCCTGGCTGCTGGCACCGGCTTCCCTCAGGCACCTGGGACCCCGCCTTCCCTCGCAGCCCTAGCTTCGTCCAGAAAGTCGTCCGGAAGGACATCTGGTCTAATAAGCATATTATGCTTTAATTATTATGATAATTTTAAATGTAAGGAAAAACAGTGTACAGTAAAGAGAGAGACAACATTGTTAAATTGAGGTGATGTTATTTTTGTGTGTGTGTGACCAAATAGAATTTCAAGAGTTATGTATTCTGCATGTTTATCTGTGTTTAAAGACTAAATTTTTTGTTATTGTTGTTAATCCTCACCTAAGGATACCTTTCCATTGATTTTTAGAGAAAGTGGAAAGGAGGGAGGAAGGGAGAGAGAGATTTCGATGTGACAGAGACACATCGATTGACTGCCTCCAACACACACCCAGACTGAGGCCAGGGATTGAACCTGTAACAGAGGGATGTGCCCTTGCCTGGGAATTGAACCCACAACCTTTCAGTGCACAAGCTGACACTCTGACCTCTGAGCTCACCAGCCAGGGCTTAAAACCAAATTTCACTCAGAAGCATTCCTTTCTATGTGGAAATTTATGATTTATATATATATATATATATTTTAATTTGCGTTTTTCTAGCAAAAGATCAGTGGCTCAGGAAGCGGTGTAGCAGACGAGAGAGTGGATTATGTTGTGGTTGACCAACAGAAGACCCTCGCTCTGAAGAGCACCCGAGAAGCCTGGACAGACGGGAGACAGTCCACAGAATCCGAAACACCAACCAAGAGTGTGAAATGAGCATATTGCTCTGCTATGTCTGAACAAAAGAGAACATAATTGTAAAGATAAATCCTGTTTGACTGAAGAAGACTTGACACTTAAACTCCAGGTAGATCCTGGAGTACTCTCTAGTTGAAGTCAAAGGACCTTTCAGACATAATCAAGCAATTGACACTGTCAGTGGTGCTTTATGGTATCTGAACAGTTCATAACCTGTAAAAAAAAAAAAAAAAAAAAAAAAAGTAGGCAAATAGTATTGTTTAGTTCCCAGAAAAAAAATGGTTCCATAGTTACCACACTTGTAGTATTACTGTATTTATGCACTTTTTCATTTTAAACATTGGCTGGGGTATTCGCAAACGTACCTTACCATAACCCCTTTGGGAAGTGTTTGTTTTTCCTCACACTACTCTAGATAGCGATACTAAGTTAAACTAAGCTACGTTTAGGTTTGTAAATTTCTCCTTCAACTTCAGTGTAACGTTAAGGTGAGAAAGTAGATTCACAATTTACCTTTTTCCTACCTGAAACTGCAGGTGGTAGTTGTTGAACTACAGAGTCCAGTTGGACTCATCATTCATTGCTTTCTCGAATGCTAAGGATAATATGTATAGTGGTATTAGGACCGAGTTCTCTGGCTCATGTACAGTTAGTTCTCAGTGTACAACTTTATTCTATTTTGTTAATTACAGTGTTCTTAGTTCACTGAGTGGAGATTCTGCCGGGTGGGATCTTGTACCTCGGGGAGACTGAATAATTACACTACCAAGTAAGCCCTACAGATCGCTGGTCGCATGATGTGCTCTCACACGTGTTAACACGTATTAAACTTTATGTTATTTGCAAATCGTAGTTTATGTAACTAATCAGGTACGTGCCAGGCACTGATGTGCTACTACGCCAATCAGGTTTAGACAGTGAGCTTTAGTTTGTTCATGTTAGTCCTGAATTCCAATTTGGAACTAATGACACCGTTGACATTCACTGTTAGGTATAGCAACATACTGTGATTTTTTTTAACTAGACAGTAATTCAGATTTATTACTCTAAGGATGAAATTCTATCTTTTGACACCATAGTGCCCTTTCTATGATTTTTTTTTAACTTTACTTAATATTCTTCTTAGCCTTATATTTAAATTCCTATGCAATTAATATTTTATACCTGCATTAAAAGAAAAAAAAGATGTTATGTAAGTGATTCTCATATGTAGCACCTATTGCTTTTCCAGTAAAAAAAAAAAGAAAAAGAAAAAAATTTAAGGATTTTGTACTGTGATTTATATTCACTGTCCCAGTTCAGGAAATATTGGAGTCTTGCTATAATGTGAAATCTTATAGTCATGGACCTCTTTCAACCAGATTTGTGAAACCACCAGAGGGATCATATAATTCTGTCTCACTTATAACATGATATCAAGACCACAAATTATAGTGAAGCTACAATTATATGTATCTGTCTTGGCTTTGCTTCGTAATTTAGAAAGCAGATAGAGCTGTTTGTTTGTTTTTTAACTACATGGCATACAATCTCTCACGTATTGATTTGAGACTTACTAACAGTTGTCAGAGGGGGCGTAGAGATCGCAGTGCCCGTGGCTGAGAGACCCCCTTCCATTCAGACCTCTTTTGCCTGAGAACACAGATGTGCCCTGATTCCTGGCCTCTGGCCAAGTTCTGTGCCTCATCAATGTAATGGGTTTGTTTCCCTGATCCACAAACTAAAAATGTTCATAACGAGATGATGAATGGTAGATTAGTAACAGTTGATGCTTTTAAGTGTTTGCTCCTTTTCCAAACAAAGGCTAAAACCCAGAAGTGGATTTTGAGGTGGATTTTGAAATAAAAAGGTTGTTTGAGTTTGGCGTGCGCAAGCTGTTTCATAATGAAACCACAAAATAAAATCTAAAATCATTACAATGTGCCTGAATATAATGCAGTTTGGTGTGTGACGATAGGAAGTTGTGTTACGGGGAGGAGGGCCATATTTTGAGATTAAAACACAATACACATATTCATTCAAAAATAGAAATCTTGTTTAAAGCTGCCTATCGCGAGACTAAGCAATTGCAAATTTTTTAGTGTAATTTAACACTGATTTGTAGAAATGTTCCCATTGTGCAGAAGAATTTAAGAATCGAAATGTCTTAAGTTTGTCTCAGATGTTGAACGTTGTATTAACAAATTAAAAGGCAGTTTCTTACAGAACACTCTTTTCCAAACATTTTTAGCCTAGGATCTTTTTTAAATAAAATTTTGTGTAACCCCCAATACCGGAAGCCTGAAAAATTTATTTCATCAATATAAATGCGTTTGAAGTTCACATTTATGTTCATTTATTTTAGTCCATTCTGAATAACACTGATATGAAATTCGGGTTATCGATAGCTGGTGAAAAGCGTCAGCAGTTTCTATCCCTTGTTTTATTTGCATACTGTTAAGAAAATTATGATTCACACAAACGTATGGAAGTACAAATAATAATAGGTTTAAGCACACATATCAGGATGTTCTTAAGGTGAATTCCAAGGTTGATACCAAAATAAATTATCCCGGTAGGGGAAGTTAATACATAAGAAGTCTCTAATATGGAAAACTCAGGGTATGTAACAAATTAGGATGTACATCTTTATTACATTTTAAAAAATGTGTGTGTGTGTGTGTGTGTGTGTATATATATATATATATATATATATATATATATATATATATATATATATATAAAAGGCTAATATGCAAAGTGTCCCCTTGGGAGTTCAACCAGGAGTTAGATCTCTTGCTATGACATGTGCTGACCACCAGAGAGTGGCATGGAATGAAGGGAGGCCCTGGCCAGCAGCAGGCAGCCAGGGAAGGAAGGCCCCAGCCAGCAGCTGGAAGACCCTGATTGACCCTAATCACTGGCCATTTAGATACAGTATAACATAGAAGTTTATATTATCTTTATGTGTGTGTGTGTGTGTATACACACACACACACATATTTCAGAGAGGAAGGGAGAGAGGGAGAAAGAGCTAGAAACATCAATGATAAGAGAGAATCATTGATGGGCTGCCTCCTGCACACCCTCCAAGCCCATAATATAGGCAGGTGCCCTGACCAGGAATTGAACCCGATTCATAGTTCAACCACAGAGCAACACCAGCCAGGCAGAAATTTCTATTTTTGATCTTTCCTTGAGTTTTTATCTAAATAAAATATCCAATTGTGCCTATTTCTATGGGGTCACTCGTTTTCTGTATGAAAGATCTCACTAAATCATGCTAAAATACAGTAGTCACACTTTAAGTAGGAAAAGCTTCTGACACTGTTGCCACATGCATATGTCTTTATTTTTTCTTCATCTGGCCAGTGCTACCCACCTTTTGTTGAGTAAAAGGCCAATAAATAAAGGTCTGTGTACAATTTTTCCTATCTTAAAACAGGTTTTATACATAAAACATGACTTGGAAAATAAGTGGCTGAGCCTTTTTATTTTCCTGAGAGCTTTCAAACATCTCTAGTATTTCATAAACCCCAGTAATTGCTCTTAAGTCAGTTGTTGGGCCTACTGGGCCCAGCATTCTGTAGTTCTGACTCTCATTAAATCACATTTGGAAATTTTGGGGTGGGTAAGATAATCTTTGAGATCATTCTCCTCATCTGTCTTTCTGTCACCTTATACATGGTGAAACTTCTGGATATTTGCATATAACTCCTTTGGGAAAAGAACCTCTAATAAACACTTTTTAAAATACAGTTTCATTAGAGTTTTATAAAGAGTATCTGCAATTTTGTTAATGTGTTATTGCATATTTAAAAGCCATGTTAGTGATGGGAGACATTTTATTCAATGTTGTGATGGGTAACATTCCTCCCCTAGATTCCTTGTTTTAAGATTACAAACAAATGCCCTACAGGTATAGGTCAGTGGTTGATTACCCACCTGTGAACCAGGAGGTCACAGTTCAGTTCTTGGTTGAGGCACATGCCCAGGTGGCGGGCTCAATCCCCAGTGTGGGGCGTTTAGGAAGCAACTGATCAATGATTCTCTCTCATCATTGAAGTTTCCGTCTCTCTCTCCTCCCTTCCTCTCTGAAGTCAATATATATATATATATATATTGTAATTACAAATTTTTTTTCTTAATTAAATAAAACCTGTAGAAAGGTAAGTTTCTAATATGTGTTTCTATATACTTTATTAGACAGAACTTTATTACTATTACAAATGGTATATTGGTGATTAACTCTCAGCATAATTTGTCTCTGATTTTGTGGTAAATGGTGCTCAGAATATTTTGAATACTCATCACGTGGAATGCATGGTGGCACAGAAAAGGAAAAAAGCAAATCTCTTCAAAATAACCCCCTTTCTCAAATACGGCATTATGGTGATTAATGTGTCTGTCCACTTGGCCAGGCCGTTGCGCCTGTGTTTGTTCAAGTCTTGTCTAAATGTTGCTGTGGAGGTATTTATAGATATGATTAACATTTATAGATATGATTACATGACTTTAAGTATAGCAGATCATCCTCCATAAAGTGGACAGTCCTCATCCAATCAGTTGAAGGCCTTAAGAGCAAGAACAAATTTTCCTGTTTAGACGAATTCTGCCTGAGGACTTTAACAGAATCCTGCCTGGATTTCCAGCCTGTTGGTCTGCCCCACAAAATTTAAACTTGCCAGCCCCTACAATTGTGTGAGCCAATTCTTTAAAATAAATTTCTTCAGTGGATGGATGGGTGGATAGAGGGATTGATCAATCCTATTGGTCTATTTCTCTGGAGGACTGACACAGGTATTAGTTCCTTAATCTGAGTGTGTCTTACACATGTACCAAGCAATAATTTTGAGGTTTAATTTGAAATAAACTGGCAGTCTCTATGCCAATAACTTATCTTTTCTAAAATAAAAGTGTTGATGAATTTCTGAAGCAATATACTAACAGTGAAACATGTTTCTGCTTCTGTTGGCCATAATTTTTTTGTCTTTCAGGAACCATTAAGTTGGCATCTCCATTGAGGGAAAATATGCTAA